AATACATATGTGCCACACAGATCTCATTTGATATGTGTGAGGGCTGTGGCACTGCACGGGTGCCCAAACCGAAGCAGGTGGTTTTCTTAAGGGACCACACTCAGAGCCTTCGACCTGAAGGTCTGATCCACAAGGCAGCGGAGCATCGTAAGGAGATGCAGTCCACCCATGGTAGCCAGTGACCAACGATTGGTTCATACGTCATTTGTTCCTTCAGGATACTGGAGCCCATGTGCACCATTGGTTTAGAATCTGGGTTTTCCAACCAACACCCCTAGGTGGACTCTCCATGTCCACCAACCCGGTTAAAGCGCCGGACATTCGCTTTTCGTCCTCTCAACTTCGTGAACAACAGTAATGCCACGAGGCAGTGAGTAGGACTTCCCTGGCAGAGGCTATATACGCGTGACCATGTAAGAACATTTGGAGAGGGAGAGCGGACTTCTCCTCACTCTCGGCCGTACCAGGGTATTTGGGGGCAAACTTCTTAACCATTAGTTCACTTCGACTACCAGTCCATGACGGAATTGACAAGTAGACTGAGCCATGTTAAAAGGTGTACACTGTATGGTTGAGATCCTCATGATTATCGTGACCAATAGTTAAAGACTTTGAACGACATGGTTCGAAATCGTTTGCATCAATCCAGGCACATTAGTTTTTTGTTTTCCACTACATTCTAAGTTTTCGAATTCCTCATAACTTTTTTACTTCACTGGTTTATATTTCTTTGAATTCTATCTTCTATGCCTAATCCTTTCTGTTAACATTAATATTGTCACTAACCCTACTACTCTGGAAATTGACCTGACAATACCACCTTTCTGTGCTAATGGTGTGACAACTTGAGCCGATGTACATACGTGACAGGCTCTATGTTGAGTTTGACTGACTGACTTTCAATAGCCAGGTTTTTATCAGATTAACGGATTTAAATCCTATGTCATTGCAATTTTACTTATCGTTCGTTATCAAAACATGCATTTACACGCTGAAATACAAACCCACACATCACTTAAGTTACGACAAAGGTCTTCCTGCAGAACTGAACGACATGATACATACTGCTAAAAAAATGTTTCCAGATTCTATTCCGTTAACAAATGTCGGGACATTACAAAATTGTAGGTCTTTTACAGCTTCCAGTTGGTAAAGCTCGGGGACTGAACAGAAGTATGTCTTGTGTTTCAAACGTATTGATTAAGATAAGTTTCTATCAGCCATTAAAATCTAAGGTGTATACCCATATCAATTACTAGTGTGTTAGGGTGATTAATAATTTGTATATTAATCCATAGCATAACTTTATTCCGTGACTTCAAACATTGATGATCAAGTCATACAACATTAATCTAGGTTTCTGTCTTGCATTATGTTGTAAGGTGTATTTACTTATTTGGTCAGATAACTGACTCTTCAAATCACAGTTCTGATTTACTTTTTAATAGTTCAAGGTTTAGTATTGAAGAAAATTCTTACTATTCAATTGCTAAATACTCTTGGTTAACTTGGTATAAATATGGATGTAGTAGCAAGTTAATTATCCAATTAATTGTACTTATGATCTGGTGTGTATTTCACACTTCTTTGGTAAAGGTGGTTTAAATCAGTAAAAAATCGAGCTTAGTTGGTGTGATTTCCCACCTTCGACTATCATCGATTAAACTACATATTTATATATGAGTAAAGGGATAGGAACAATGAATTATAAATTGACTAGAAGTCTAGTATTTAAAAATGTCATAAATACTATGATTCATATTTGACCTAACCACTCCTATGAATCCGGTGTTAATCTTGCTGTGCTAATGAGGTATGGCAACCTGGACCGATGCATATATGTGCCTGGTCCTACGTTGTAGCTGACTGACTATTGGTATAGGGGGTTTGTAGAGTGTGTCTGTGGCTCCATTAAAAAGGGTCAAAGCCAGGAGTTTCGATCTTAAGTATTTCGAATATTAGAGACATTTATCCACTGAAGGTAATTGAAGATGATTCACACTTAGAAGATAACGAATTTCGAGACATAACATTTGTAGGTCAAATAACATGGTCCTACCTCAGCAGTTTCGAGGAGACTTTGAACAGTTTCTGTCCAGCACCAACTTCCAATAGTCATCCTCAATGGGATAATCAGCATCCTCCTGCAACTCAAATCTACATTCAGATTGATAATATTGAAATCAACTACTTCTGGGACGGACTTATACAAAGCACCATCTCTTGGAGCACTTATCTGGATTTGGACTATGTTCTGATATGCGCCAAACTTGATTTTTGTTTGTGTGGTATCTGGTTCTGATATTCATACAAAAGCTTTCTATATGGAAGCCCAAATGGCTACCTGAGTGAGAGGGAAGTTTTATTAGTTAAATCTAATGAAGAGATGAATGTACATTCATGAATATATGCTTGTCTCTTAAAAGTCTATGCCATACGTCAAACCAATGGCGTATCTCATGTTGTAGAAAAGTAAACTATACATTCTACAATGGCGTGTGCTTACTATCTGGCTGATTGGTTCATTGTATCGATTCGCCAGCGAATGTCCCGTCCTAAACAGACCGAACCTTGTATTTCAATTAGATATCAAACCGACCTAGATTGAAGAGCAGCTACCAGTTAATCGAAAACCGTGTTTGGCGGATTTTCTCAGAATTAATTTGTTAAATAAATACAAGTACTGAAAAAATAATGAAATGTTTCTTTGTGTTGTAATCGTTTGAATAAACTCGTCAAATTAAAGAAATGTAACGTTTAATCAGTAATGAATTGAGCAAATTTTTGCAGGTTTCAGAAAATGTCACTTTCATGCGTTCGTGCTCATCCGAAATCAAACCTTTGTTAATTGCCTCCAGTGATGCGGTAATTTACACCCCAGATAAGGAACATTTTGGAATTGTCCCTATTGAAGCAATGTCGTTGTCTCGAGCAGTTATTGCATTGGATTCTGGTGGTCCTAAAGAAACTGTTTTGCATGGTTCTACAGGATTTCTGTGTACAGTGCACCCAATAAAACAACTTCCACAAACTATGGCTACCTATCTTAGCAAGTACGCTTCATATATTTTTTGTTGATGGAATGACCAAATAATTTTGTTATTTATTTACAAACGCGAAGTAGATGATAACCAATTATAACGAGGTAGACATTGTTATATTGAATGCGTAAAACTCTCCACGAACTGGATGTGGCGCTATTCTGCTGTCAGCGTTTGTACTGTGTAGTACTTAGATTACAAGTGTTTGTCAAGCATCATCGGAAACGGAGATAAAGGCTCCCAAATCGCTGTACCTGATATCTTCTGCTCGGTTTCCATGCGATCGCATTCAAAATAGAGGTGTATAAGAATGACCGAAATTGATTAGGGTGGATTCATTGCGCTAATTATGGTGAAGCCTTATATAGACAATATAACATAACAAGGTCAAGTAATGTATGTGCTTCCATCTAGATTACTCATCTAAAATTGGGGAACTGTGTGTTATACGAATTAGAAGTAAACCTACTTTTCTTCCGGTTTGTCCTTAATACATTGAATGCAGCAGCTGTATTGAAGTATGAGTTAATATTAGCGTAAAAATTTAGAAAAATTCATGAGTGAGTATTTGTGGTTGGACTTGATCTCCAGGCCTAACAGGTTTTCAACCACAAATCATGATTACTTTTCAGATCTCAATCACGAAGTCTGCGATACCCCGAAAACCAATACTTGATAAACTGGTACTAGAAATTGATTCGGTCGCTCTTTACAACCTATTCTTATCCTGGTCAGTGTATATATTCTGATCACCTGATTAGATGTTCACGATTTATTTAAACACATGAACATCGTTACAAGGAGATACCAAACAGATATGCACCACATCCCATTTATGTGAGGGGTGGAATACTACCCAGGTGACCGGACTGAAGCATAGTCTACGCTCAACCCAATTTCCCCACTTAGTTATACACTAATCTATGATATATGTTCATGTCCTACAGCTTAATACTTTAATATCTTGGTTAAAATCCCGATTCTCCTACCTTATTTTGGGTACTGGAGTAATGTCATCAGCTCTCAGGAACTTCAGATCTGAGTATTTAAGTCTGTGATTGATGTTCCACATATTACCTTGTCCTCCCAGTGGCCTTAATTCATGTCTGCTGATTAAAGTTATTTTTTTCAATTAAACCCAGGTAAGCTATTGCATAGACTTTATTAGTCTCCCAGCAACTTGGATGGTCTACGGTTTTGACTACACTTTAAGTTGTCAAGTTAAGCACCAATACAGGATATGCGATCACTTAAATAACTATTGTACTTCCGTATGGATCGTTTTAGCTCAATTAAAAAACAAATTTTATGTGATTTTGAGGTTTGGAGGATGATAATACAATTCAAGGACTACGACAAACTTCAAAACAACTGATAATCATTCGCAAATCGACTTTAATTATCCTAGCACTAAATAATACCTTTCTGTCTTATTCAAATTCGCTAGGCTCTAAAAAAATAATTGTGTTTATTTCAGATTTGTAAATGATCCAGAGCTTGCAGATCGTTTGGGGAAGGCAGGATGTGAACGTGTTCGTGAGAAATTTTCATCTATAACTTTTAAAAGAGGATTGCAAACAGTCGTGACTGATTTAATAAATGAAGACCAAGGATAGAAATAGTTTTTTACATGCAAAATTATTTGATTTATTTTTCCTCAAATACTTAGTTGTTTTTTATTGCAAGGCAAAGTAAATACTTGCAGTGTTTTCATGTACTTAATTTTGGTGAAATGCTGTTTATCAAAACTTTTTCACTGGACCGTTTATTTGTATTGGTCAACATACATTTACACTTGGGTAATTTTCATCCTACTGCACAAGTGAAGAATACAAGTAACTCTAAATTTCAAGTCTTGTTTGTACCAATTACAACAGCATACACGTTTTGATGTATCAAACAATATAAAATATGTAAAACACACCAGATTAGTCAATTGTATTTGATGAAAGAAAAGTAGAAAAATATGAACTGAAAGTTAGTTTTTTGAAGACAGATGAAAATGGCTTAGGTTAAGGTCGTTCATGAGGTTCTTATAGTGATCATGACTCAAAAGAATGAATTCGAAAAATGTTTGCCAGTTGAGATTTGTTTGAAATTATTAGAGAGAAATTCTTTAGGAAACCATTATTTCAGCTGATGATTCTTTCAGGTTGGGAAGTACATTTTCCTAAAGTGTATCAGATTAAAGCAAATCGAACTTACCATATCATAGATAACACGCACGTAGAGAGAACAGCTTGGACATCGTGCTATATCATCACCACACAATAAATCCTCCTACAGAACGAATAACTTAGGACTCTATAAAATAACCTAACCTTGGTAATTAGGAATCGATCACCACACGGACAAGGATAGGAATACGTTTCAGATTCTTCATCATACTCCATATCCTCGATTTCTATTTCATCATGAAATACAGACATCACTGATCAAATGTCCATCGACGGTTCTCGAGAGCGATTGTGTTATGAATGAGATTGCACGAATATGTCCAAGTAATTAGTTAAAAATGTAGTCTGAAATAATTTAGATGAAATTTTTTAGGTATCTAATAGTAGCAAGTAGTAAAGTCAAATCATATGTGTAAATATTTTCGGGTTCATGCAATGATCGCAAACAATACTGATTAATGAACATAAGCAAAAGGGGGAAGTAGCGATAAGCAATGTATGACAGGTTTACATACAGCCGCTGGTCGCCAATGATGACGCAAAGCCCATATTTCTTAATTTCCAACACCCATTTCTGCTGGGGGCAACATCGATTACACTAATGTTAGGAATGAACAGTACCTATCGAAGCACTATAGTGCGAGGGATTACTAAGGTGGGTGAAAAAGAAACGAACCCCATGAATTGAGTTAGCTTTCCTTCATTATGTTAACGGGAATACGTTCGTAATATGCTACAACGCACGCGTCAGAAGCGGCTAAAAATCCTGAAGACGCATGAGTGCATTATGTATCAATCTCTCTGAGTAATACTTTTTAAATATCTACTTTCAGTATATAATAAGATCAAAATAAAGCGTACATGTGTGGAACGATATAAGAGCTGACATGAGTGTAAACATTTCTACACGTGCTTTTGCACTACAGGATAACTATGATGAGAAAACTAGCATGACCTACAGCTGGGATGTGATATTGCTCAGTCTTGAGGGCGGTTATCACTTCCCGGTTGCCCACACCGTGGAAGGGTTCTTCTGGAGGTACCTGAAAAGGAAATTGGATTAGAGGTGGTCTTAGTGACCTGAGAGCGTGACCGCAGTACCCAAGGGACAACTGCTTGAGGTCGGTCACACACGACTTTTTTATGGGTGATTTTTGTGTTAGCTTCGTACTTGTTGAGACCTTACCACCGGAGACGGATATTCGTGGGATAAGGCGAGGTGTGCATATTTAGGGTCGACCTTTTCTAACCCCACCTCCCCTTGTGAGAAGGCAGCATCGCTGTCATGCTGGTTGTCTGGAGGAAACACCTTACTGCTGCCACACCTCTGTACAGCCAGCAGTAGGACTTTACCTTCGGACATTGGGTTTGTTGCTTTTAGTCTTACCGCTCTTCAACCGACCTGTCTGACATGGTAGGACCTTGAGGAACAGTTGTTCCAGCCAGTATAGCTCGCTTGCTTCATCACGATAGGCAAGCCCAACCACCACGTCAAGGTAGCAACAACGGTCGGATGTGATATTGCTAACAAAAGAGGTTTTAGTGGTCGTGGCTGCATCGACCACATATTCATCATCCGTCAGGTTCCAGGACAGGCATACTTGTCGACGTCCGACAATGGTGGTCTTTTTGACTTGAAAGCAGCATTTTACTCTGTAAATCGACAGGTTCTCTGGCAGTGTCTGTCATTGAAAGGCGTACCTCAAGAGTACATTAACCTTGTAAAGGCTCTTTACTCGAACACTACTAGTCGAGTCAGAGCTTATGGCGAACTGTCATCTACTTTTGCAACCTCAAGTGGTGTCCGTCAAGGCTGTCCACTTTCTTCATTTCTGTTTAACTTCATCATAGATCTACTGATGGAAATAACATTCTCGTCGACTGAATTCTCGGGTATTGATCTCCTTCCAGGAGGTCCACATATCGACTTAGAATACGCAGATGACATAGTCCTGTTTGGTGAAGACGCAGTCTTTTGGTAGCACTAAGCAACAATGCCAGAATGTTTGGGATGCGCTTCTCTCCCTCTAAGTGCAAGTTGTTGCTTCAGGACTGCTTTGCGTCAACATCTGAACTAAGGATAGAGAGTGAAGTAGTCGAAGGCGTTTTCTACGTTATATTTTATTCCGTTTCGTCTGAACACCCCCCTTAATCGCTGTTTCCCCCGTGAAAAATCTCTTCTATTGTCGGCATAAGCTAGCTTGGCAATTACAACTAAAATACATAGCCACCGATACACTAGCATATGTCAGCTATCCAAAATGTTGTACAATATGAAGTTTTTTCTTTTCAATAAATTTATTCCGACATGTACAGTTTTTAACATCGATTGCAGTTGTCGTGTGATTTGTTATGGAAATGAAGACGAATACATGAGACGTTTGGGGTTAGGCCAAAGGTGTGTTAAAAATTGAAGTGAAGTTAAGTAAATCCCCAATCTCCAAGTTTCAGGGAAACCATTATGAAAAATTTTGGGAAATGGCACCATAACCCCAAAACTTCCCGACATCTGGGGAGATTCCCTAATATTTTCCAATAAACTCCCCTAAACCTTGGTGTAGGTCATTTGACTTCGGGGATTTCCCCAAAATCCACCCGAACTTTGGAGATTAATCTCTCTTGGTTCGGCGAGTATGTAGGAGAAAAGTAGATAACTCAACACTTGAAAAAGAGCAACATGAGGGGAAAAAAACCCGCATTATTTCCCCCACACAGGCAGACATCAAGCTGCATTTCCCCTTTGTTTTCTAACGCACTTTTCCCTCTCTTGGTTGCCTGGGGCTGGTGCGAAACTTCATCTCAAACGACTAGATATGTGAATAAAACTTCCAGCTTTACCCTGTAACGTGGGTTGATTAAGGAATCCTGAATCTGTGCCAGGAATATTAGCGGAAGATAGCCTATTTGGCTGATCTAAAAAAGTAAAATGCAACTCACGTGACGTAACAGTACAATCTAGCGCCAACAATTAAATAGGTCAACTGTTCTAGAATGAAATGGATGAAGCTATTGCTCAACAGACTTCTGTATATGGAAGCAATGGATCGACAATGTCTCCAAGTAAAACTTAGGTATATTCAATAGCAAAAATAAAACAATTTTAGAAAATTTGTGGTAGAGCACTTTTCACAAGAAAATGTCACCTTCTTTTTAAGGACACATGAAAGGCGCTTGGAGTACCTCAGTCGGCAGCAAATTCCGAAATTTGACTACTCGTGAAGAAAAAAGGTGTGCTTCTATTATGTTCTGCCATATCTTGTCGCTAACTTCTGTCTGTATCCCCCAAGGTTTGTGCTGGAACTCATGACATTCAGGAGTTTTGAGATGCTGTAAGTCATTAGAAGGTTACTCCTGCGACAAATGTGCTGCAATCGGTAATTTATGTTTTATTCTCCACAACCCTGTATTGGTAATTTATTTTCAATAAATAGGTTACAAAAGTCATGCTAGTTTACAGGCATGGTCAAAATGTTACAAAATGTACTACTGTAGCGGTAAATAAATCCACAAAATAAATAGCACTAAGTTTTCGACATTGGATGCTGACCATATGTTTTAGTGGACTCACCTAGCTGAAGGCGCTCGGTCAGGCATCCGCACCAGATCACGTGTGGTAACGCCGTGCTCAACATCAACCGCAATCGCTAGCCAGATTAGATCAGAGAATTCCGATATATTGGTCATCGCCAAATATACTCTTCCGATCTCCTCGACTCTGTCTTTTGATTTCTCTGGGCGGGAACGAAATATATTAGATGGTGTTACTGGTGGAAGCGTTGTCAAACACTGAATACCTGTGACATCATCATTGGTGAAACCGACGTGATCTGGTACACCCAATTGCAACTGTGAGTCTGTTCCTTTTTGGGATTTTTATATATCATTGCCTTATTTTTTTATTTTTTTAAACATTGTGATTTTTTTTTCGTGTTTTTTCCTGGATATATATATTTTCCTCTTGTTCATTATCGTACTTCATACTTCATCATGACTGAACAGACACCTAAAGTACTCAAGCTTAAGACTTTGTCCCCTCCTTCGTTTCAACTGATGCCTTTCTGGCCCTACAACATCGAAGCCTGGTTTTGCTACGCAGAAGCCGACTTCTCCGAGCACGGCGTGATCGACACACGTGCACAATTCCTCGCAGTAGTCAAGGCACTACCGTGCGAATTCAACAGGTACGTAACACCTAGTATGTTTACTAGTGATGTTTCGGATTCTTACGAAATCTTAAAACGCTCGATTCTTAAACGAGGAGACCTAACGGAACGACAAAGGTTAGATCAACTCTTCAACAATATCGACCTGCAACACGGTTCTGCGACAGACATGTTGCAACAGATGAGAGAGGTAATAGACCCAAGAACTTTCGACGAAGGTCTATTCAAACAACTCTTCTTGTCAAAACTTCCCCAACAGGTGCAAGCAGTTCTGGTCTCGTTCCAGAACAACGCCTTAGACGAACTAGCTGCATCTGCAGACCGCATTTTAGAAATTACGAAATCTACTACCGAGGTATTTTCGGTCAAAGAAAAACCTTAAACGACTCAGAATGATATAAACGACTTATGTCACACACTCACGCGTTATCTTAGTCTTCGTACCGACCGTAAGAGATTGCGCACACCACGTAGAAGCATTTCTCGTAAGCGATCTATCTCTAGACCACGAGAGACAGATAACCCCGACTGGTGCTGGTATCATAACCAGTATGGAAAGCTTTCCAGAGATTGCAGAAAACCCTGCAATTTCCCCAACACGAAACCGACTGATTCGAAAAGCAATTCGGGAAACTTCCAAGCCGGCACGCGTTAACGGCAACCGTAGCCGGCGAACAAAGCCGTCTGTTATTCGTCACAGATGTGACAACGAGAGTTCGCTACCTCGTCGACACTGGCACAGAAGTTAGCGTTCTCCCAGCAAATCCTAACGACCGACTACACGAATCGACCCTAAACTTACAGGCGGCAAACGGAAAACCGATCGCTACGTATGGCAAAAGGTACGTTTACCTTAACGTGGATTTACGCAAACCCATTCACTGGATCTTCGTTGTTGCAGATGTTTCTATGCCAATCATTGGTATGGACCTTCTACAACACCATAATCTGATCATCGACACGCGCAAACGGAGGCTAGTAGACGGGAACACTAATTTGTCCGTTTGCGCAACTTCTTCTACTGGTTGTAGAGTAACCCCAGTCACAGTTAAACATATGATAGACCCACTCTATCAGCCACTACTCGATAAGTACCCTGGGATACAACAAACTCGACCGAAACTACCGTGTGTAACCAGCAACGTTACACAACACATCACGACTACAGGACCACCTGTATTCTCTAAAGCATGACGACTAGCTCCTGAAAAGCTAAGGTTAGCGAAAAACGAATTCCATCACATGATGGACTTAGGAATCATACGACCGTCAAGTAGCCCATATGCATCTCCGTTGCACATGGTCCCTAAAAAGGACAGCAACGACTGGCGTCCAACTGGTGACTATCGGCGACTGAACGCGAAAACCATTCCCGATCGTTACCCGTTGCCTCACATTCACGATTTGACAGCTACCTTGAAAGGTACAACTGTCTTTTCGAAAATCGACTTGGTTAAAGCGTATAACCAAATCCCTATGGCTACTGACGACATACCGAAAACGGCTATCATAACTCCTTTCGGACTCTATGAATTTTTGCGAATGCCTTTCGGTCTAAGGAATGCTGCTCAAACATTCCAAAGATTCATAGACGACGTTTTTCGAGGTCTCAACTTCGTACAAGTGTATGTTGATGACTGTCTAATCGCAAGTCCGGACAAAGAAACACATCTCAAGCATCTGGATCTTGTTTTCGAACGACTTCAAAAACATGGCATTACTGTAAACGTTCAGAAATGCCAATTCGGAACCGACTCGTTAGACTTTCTGGGACACACTATCGATGCTCAAGGCATTCGACCCCTTAGAACCAAAGTGGCGGCCATTCTGGATTACCCAGAACCGACCACCATCAAGCAATTACGCACGTTCAACGGCCTCGTAAGTTTCTATAGACGTTTCATACCGAAATGCGCATTGCTTATGAAACCTCTGACCGACCAACTTCGTGGAAATGCGAAATCCATTAATTTGGACGACACCGCACGAAAAGCATTCTCCACAGTTAAGGAACTGATTGCTAAAGCAACAATGCTCGCACATCGGGACACCGAAGCACCCATTATTATCGCAGTAGACGCATCCGACTCGGCAATCGGATTAGTTTTACAACAATGGGTTAACAACTCCTGGCAACCCTTGGCATTTTTCTCTAGAAGGTTGCTAGACACCGAATCGAGGTACAGCACATTCGGTAGGGAACTCCTAGCTATGTATTGTGCTGTACGGCATTTCCAACACTACATCGAAGGTCGTGAATTTGTAGTGGCATTGGACAATAGCCACACAATCCACAAAGCTGTGAACACGAGACTACTCAGAAAATAGATATTCAATATTTATCTCGGGGAAATACCTAACAATGGAGAAGGCGCGGAGAATGAATTGAACGGACTGGAGTTGATCGGATGGCATGGCTCGTCCATGCAGGCGTGGTCCATCTCAATGTTACTTTATATCTTCTATTCATATTGAATATATTGTTCCTTCTCTAGCCTAACCTTGTTCTACATAATGTACGGGTAATTGATACGATACAGTGAGTTGGTGTAGTCGATGGCCTGTTAAGCGAAAGCTTCTTCTATTCCGTCCACAACCATTTGAACCATTTGAACTTCCACGTAAGATCTTATAGATTAGGCAGTTATATCATGACAAATCTACAAATTTAGGATTAGGTCTATTATTAGAGCAGTACTAATATCATAGTAGACCATAATTCTACATCGGTAAGCCCGACCAGAGAAACGCAACCTATTATTGTTAATCTTATTTCCATTCTAAATTTCTTGATCTATTTTGTACTTATGTTAACCCAATATTCCAACAGTCCTGATTAATGCTCACATGTATTATCGTAATGTTATATTGAGTAGTTCACATAACTTACTAGCTCAATCGATAATAAAAGTTGATCATCTATATCAACTAATTAGCTTTGATGGTTCGTTAACAAGCTTTAATAGCATTTACCTGCTTCAGCGACATAGACTTGTTTAAACATCAAGCTCTAGCAAATATGACCTTCAAATAGCGTAAGTATACATTGACTAACAATGCAATCAAGGACTAAATAGTTATCGGGATCTAATTATCAGTGTTCCTTCACCTAACACCTCATCCTGTTTTAAACTATGCACTATCCTGTAATATCTTTTCTTCCGACCACTGCCTGTCTAATTTCATATTCTCGAGTTCCATTGCCAAACAACAAGGATGACACTTCTCCAAAAACATACGGTGAGTTTCATCTATAGGTTTTCTGCAATCATAAGGTCATTTTAGATGGCTCGTTCAATGGTGACCGCACAATTATCTGAATTCATTCAGTTGTTCTGATCCGAGCGAGTGGCAAAAACGTCAACACCATCAAGGACTCTGGAATTAATTGCCATACTGCATGTTTTATTCTGGATGCTTTTGGATCAATAGTACTCACGAATAGCGTTATATATGTCGTCCACTGAATAATCTAATTTTCAAAAATAATGCAGGCGAGTTCAACTATTTTACTGGATGATTTTTTGTACTTAACATGTATATGTTTTGTAGTTGCTTTTGCCATATTTTTGTAAGTGTCACTAAGCTAAATGCAGTAACTTCTTATGGAAGGTTTATAACGCATCATATTCCTGCCTAAAGTTTCACAAGCAGTCTTAACTTCAAAATTATTTTCTGGTCATGTTCATTATTTTTAACTCGTCATATACGTCAACAACTTGCATGTTAACCTGGCACATACATACGTTGCACTATATCTTCATATCTTTTGAATTTAGAAATAATCTGGATCGCCTTTAA